TCGATTCACTGTTCGGACTCGCCGATTCCGTACAGTGAATCGGCGATTCACTGTACAGAATCGTCCGGTTCTCTCTAGAACCGGACGATTTCCGATTTTTTAAGCGATCCGGTCCCCTTTTCACGATTTTCGAGTCGAACCGGGCGAGTCCGGTTCGACTCGGCGTTTTTTAAAACACTGATCTAAACTATAGGAAGGGTACTTGCGCACCCGTCCGCTATGCATGACGTGGACGGGGACTTCCCTTAAAATAAAAAAATAAAAAATAAAATAAAATGTTATGAGAACCAAACAAGAAAGCGTTTGGTGTGATTCTATTAGCAGAGTGGTTATCATTGATTTTGAACCAGAGAATGTTTGGTCCAATTCTAGTAGCTATTCGACTGAATAACAAAAAAGTGTAATTCATGAACCCAATCAAAACCCACCCTAAAGTATCACAAAAAAGATTTCATAAATATACGAGTAATATATTTAAACTAATTTGTTCAAATTTTGGTTTTGCAGTGGATCAAACCATTTTGAGGTCCAATCTTGTGTACAAGCCCATAAATACACTAACAACACATATCAAATGAAACTGGAGGTGAAGTACTCTATTTACAAGGGGAAAAGTTTATATAGAGCCGAGGTTCTAAACAATCAAATTCGAGCCCCAAAAATTTCACTAGAAGAGGTTGTTTTGATGCTCAAATATCTTCGAATTAATTATATCAACATCAAGATGCATGGACATAAGAAAAAAAATAGATTTTAAATTTCGAAAATAGTGTATTTTGTAACGCATTTTTAGACCATCAATTTTCAAGATTTTCATAGATCTGCCGATCTATACTATTTTTAGGCGCTTTAAACTTTATAAATAAAAATGAAAATATATTTTAAGGCTATCACAAAGATTTTTAGTATTGAAACCACATTTCTCGGTACTATTTGAAGGTAGGCTCTAATTTGATTGTTTAGAGTCTAGGCTCTATACAAACAACACCCTATTCACAAAAATAAAAAGGAAAAGTTCTCAGGGAGTAAGGCATCTACTTTGTTTGTAGTGATTGCGTACAAATATACAAAGAGACAATTTAACTTTGGTACGAGGTGGTCACAATTTTTTATAACCAAGAAGTTAGAGAAAATCTCTTTTAAAATTTGAGCTTAGTCTATGACATAAATGCAGCCACCCAATTTCACATCCAATGGTCAAGAATAATTGTGACCACTTTGTATCAAAGGTAAATAGTATCATTATAAACTTTCCTTTATTTTTAAGGGTTTTTGGCCCTCAAACACATTCTAAATTATTGCAAATCCATTTTTTTGTTAGATTTATGAATTTGGAGCTCCAAAAACTTTTTTTTTCCTTTTTTTTTTTTGGGTAATATGTTAATGTGTTGAGGCATCCACCCCGCTAACCACCCTTGCCCACCCCCATTCCCAAAAATTTAAGCAAATGGAGTTCGAACTTGCAGTCTCATGGTCAATCATCACCGCTTGTTAACCAACAAATATATGGTCTAGGATCTTAAAACATTATGAATCTTATGACATTTGAAGAATTGAAATGAAAAATATAAAACTATAGCACTTGGGCGTTTAATCTCGCTCTCTTCTTAGAATCGTGATCTTGATGGCCGAGACAATAAACCCATAAAATTTTGGATCCAAATCATCTCCAAGATAGATTCTAGGAAGATGGACTCATTGTGAAAAGTTTTGACAAAGTTTTTTGTTGGCTGTCTACTTAACACAATCCACCTCCATTACTTAGGCTTGAGACGCGTTAAAATCCTCATTATAAGCGATGTGTCCCCATTAAAAAGGTTCAAAATGAGCTTGGCTTGTTTAAGATGGCTTGACCATGGCTTGCTTAAGCTAACTTTGGCTTGTCTTATAAATGAAGTACCAGCTTGACCATGGCTTGCTTAACCAGATAATGCTCAGGCCTCAAGCCCTAGACAAGTTTACCCAGCTTGTGTTGATGGATACCCTAGCATTAGAGTTTCCTTGGGTCCTAAGAAGAGAGTGGAAGAAGGGCTGTCACATGCAAGGTGTGAAGAATCCACCACAAACATTGAAATCACAGGGCATAAAACCCTCTTCTTACAAGGGGACTCGATGTTTCTAGGTAATCTTATTTATTGCAATTTAGCATAGTGCCACACTCTACTTTCAGAAATTAAACCTCTTTTTCCAAAAATTTCTACTTACATTAGACAAAAAAGAGAGGAACAAGAAGACTACCATATAAGACAAAAATAGAGAGAGGAACAAGAAGAGTACCATGGAAGAAGAAACAAACAAATAGAATGGCATCCTTTTCTAAAGAAAAATGAGAGAGAGAGAGAGAGAGAGAGAGAGAGAGAGATGCTTGTATCCACATAAAATTAACTTGCAATGTGCTATTTTCTAAAAGAGGGGGAGAGAAACCAATGGGAAAAGAAAAGAGGAGGCCCACTCCAACTAAATTAGGATAAGGATTACAAAAGGCTCACCTCACCAAATGCTGGGTGTGTGAACATCAAAAGGTTGGGGCCTCCTTTTCAACAGCAAAAAGCCCACAAAATAGACAGCTTTTAGTGCCTCCGGTTTGATATGTGGATGCGCTTACATTGGGTCCTCCCCATAAGTCAATTATCTTCTTCAACTTTAAAGAGCACCATTTGCCAAAAGAACTTTTTGTGGAGCCAAAAGGTTTTCCCACATCTTTATGTAAAAAGAAGACAAGATTCCAAATTTCTCATAAAAATCAATAGAATTGAGGCCTATTACACTACCTGAACTGATAAACCTCTTTTTGGTGAGGGTGGGAGATCTCCATATGAGTAAGGCAAGAGAGAATATTTGTGAGGCTTTACAATATCACAGTTTGAAAACTCATTTAACTTCTTGGTTTGTATGAACCCAAAATTCAACTGGACAACAGAAGTGAAAGTAAGAGCACTTGTGAATAAACTGTGTGCATCATAAATTCATACAGATTTCAGAACAAGGGGTTCCCTCTTTTATGCAAACAACTGGAAGACACCGTCAAAAACTCGGAAGAGATCTCAGTTCATGATCTCGTCACAAGTCCGGTTCATAATTTAAGACATGTATAAGCATAGCATCTATAGACAACAGCATCGCTCTCTCTCTCTCCCCAACACCCCCCACCCCCGCCCCCCCCCCCCCCCGCGCTCTACTATGTACAAAATACATTTTCAAACAGTCAATAGCAATGTTTTCCCGCCACCTCCGAATTCCATGGAAGTTCTTGAAGAAGCTAAAACCAGACTACTTGGGCATCTCCATAACCACCTTTCTCCTCCAACTCCTCAAGAAGCCTACACGTATGCGCGTTACACCAGGCGAGTGCCCAAGTCGATCGGTAGATAAAACACATGAAACGCCAAGCTCTTTATAAAGAGAGAATATGTGAAGAGAGAGAACATCACGTACTGCTCTCTTGGAATGTATGGGACCTTGAAAGAGCAGCTGGGTTTGCTTGCAAGACCTGTACTGTCTCACTAGACCTGTCCTTCCCTTCCACCTTGGGCTGGAAAGCCTTGAATATCCCACCCTTCCTAATAGGTTCCAAACTATCATGCTTGATACCAAGAGTTGCCCATATTGAACTCTTTGCCGCTTCATCAGGATCATCAATTCTAAGTGTTTTAGGAACCCAGAGGGATTTCTCAGGTTTCTCTTCTCCTTGTGAAGGAGCATCTCTTGAATGCTTGCCAAGAGTTGGAGAGTTATTCCCACTACTTGTCGAAGAAGGCGATAAGCCATTGCCATAGCTTGAATTCACCCAAGGTATAGGCCAAGTCCCACCAGCCCAAGTAGGAACGCAACCCCAGTAGGACCCAGGCACAAAGGGAAAGGGCACAGTGGGTCCACAAAATGGAGGGGGAGGAGCCACTATGGCTGGGTGCGTGGTCCACTGAACTGGACCACTGGATCCACCTCCATGCTCTGGCCCTCCATACACAACCTCTGATGAGCACCTCCCCCCTGGTGAAGTAGCAGCCATGGCTGCAACACCTGTCCAATTAGGTGCCCATGGATAGGGCCATGGAGAGGCCCCACCTGGAAAACACTGTAAATGAGGAGCTCCAACCCCACCTTTACAACACCCCACTAAACCACCTTTCTCAACCATGTTTTCTTGCAATTCTCTTTCTACACTAGTAGGGGCAGTAACAGTAGAAGACCCACATGATAATTCCTCCCCATTCTCGGAAACTTTCTCTCTCTTGGGTACCGCCTGCTCGCCTAGGTTCAGCACAGTTTCCATGGACTCGCAAAGAGGAGCATCAGGCCCAAATTTTAGCACTGTGCCCCCAGTTTTCAAAGGCCTAGTATGTGGGGGAACCCCACAAGAGATTACTTTATGATGGTTCGTTTCTTGGGGTTCAATAAGAGGCTTGGCCAGGTTTTCAGACATCATAATATGGCGATAATGAGATGCTGAATGCTTGTTTTTTCGGCGCCCTGCTCCTACTGGTACATTCCTCATTGTTCCACCAGCTGTCCAGTATCTTTGGCAATTTTTGCAAAAATGTCTTGGTTGATTCACATTATAATTGTTGTAGTAGCAAAACTTAGTGTCAAGACTATTGCATCGAGGGCATGGGAGGACCTTGTCGGGTTTTTTAAGGGTCTTTTCTTGGCTTCCTCCCCCCTCTATTTCAGTCTGGTCTTCTTCAGTTGACAAAGGCTTAGAGTCTTTAGGATTTGGTGTGGCCTTGTTAATTTCATGGTTCGAGTTTTGGGGTTCTTCTTTGCATTCCTTCAAATCATTAGGGCTTGCTGGATCTTCTGTGTTTGCTCCAGCTTTATCCCCACTGGCTTCATTATTTTCTTGGCATGTTTCCTGAAAATTTGACACGCGTTTAATCCATGGCTCTATGTAAAAGGAAAAATTTGTGAAGTATTAGTATGTAAGAATTTATGTATACACAATGATCAATGCCACATATAAGAAATCACTCTATTGCAGTATAGCCCATTGAAAGATCATACTGGAAATTGGTTTATTTGCATATAAAACTATATTGGTGTAACAAAAAAGGAAGAACATTATTGCTATATAAGCCATTGAAAACTTTCCCTGAAAAATGGCTTCTACATACATCCTGAGATTCCAAAGGGTTATTAAAATCTCAGTAAAAGAGTGTAACTTTCAAGTGCACAGCAAGAGAAAATTGAATTCTCTACTTCAATTGGATACGAGTAAAGTTCAGGGCTTTTAAGTTTTAAACCAAAACTCAGTTACATTTTCTTACCCATCAAAAAAGAAGAAAAAAAAAAGTCTTCTTATCCTTGATATTTATTAGGGCCAATGAATTTCACTATACCCATACAAAAGATGCATCAAAGATAATGGCATCCAAGAAAAAGATCAGACTGAGACGCTACTAGCAGTTCTCACTTTTCCATTTCTCCAGAACGAACATCAGGTTCCAGAATATCAGGGGCATATTATCCCAACTGAGACCACAGGGACCCATAAATGCTTCATGAAGAACATCTATATTATATAAATCTGGCGATATCAAGATTTCTTGAGAGGAAATCGTAATGGCCAAAAAGAAACACATCCATCTAAACAAACTCAATATATCCCAAGGATTCAATTATAAATGGGATTAACCAAAGAAGGGTTCTGTTTTTTTGACACTTTAAACAAATTCACCTAAGATATTAAATCATCATTCTGCAACGAAAAAAAAAAAAGAGAAACTAGAGAGGAAAAAGCCAACTACACTTGGATTTTCAAACCCAAACCTTCAACTTGTTTGATGGTTAGGCTGAGTCTGCTAATTAGAAATACCCAAAATCTCCATGTTAAACTCAAAGCAAGTTATGAAATCAAAGCCCTATGTTTGAGTTTGCTCAGGTGAAGCCTGGGAACGACTATGATCCAAAGTAATAATAAAACTTTCTTAAAATATCTTGACACCATACCAGGCCATTGGAAAAACTTGACACCGTATCGTGTTTTAGGGATCTCACACCAAAATTTTCATTGCAAGGTCTGATTTCTATGAATGTATGGCTCTGAATAAAATGAGGATCAATTGGCATGCAAGTCAAGATTAGAGACTTTCATTCTAAAATCTTGATTTCAGTACAGAGTCTACTCTGAATTAGGAAGATCGACCACAAAGGATTGCCAAATTATAATTGTTTTAAAACCAAGCAATCAAATATGAAACTTCGGCCTCTAGAACCAATTGTGCTTCATTTAAAACACTTTGCACAGAGTCAACAATATTTATCCAGTAAGCAATGGAACCCTCAAAACGAATCACTTGAATTTAATCAACATATTTTAAGGGGCTTATCATGCTGAATTACTGATATTTAAAATAGCAATGAATTCATTGAACTCTATAAATTTTCTACCAAAATTCGGTGACAAGCTTAAAACTTAAAGTCTTACTCTCACTATATTGTTTTAAATTCAACCAGTAAGCAGTCCAAGCTTAAAACTTCTCTGTTCAGGATTTCTAGGGTTTCCATGAAATACCCCCCAACAGCAGCACAACATTAAAGACTTTTTCAGGTGCAATGGTACTTAAATCACTTTTTATTTTCTCATCCAGGAATTTCTCCAAAGAAAATCAGAAATCACCAATTTCATTGGTATGCAATCAGAAACCGCCATTTTTTCAGAGGATTTTTTAATCATACAACAAATAGCTAATAAAAGTTCTAACAAAACTTGGAAAGAAAATATAGTTTTTACAGCTAAAGAAAAAAGATGCTAAGAACTAAAGAAAGCCCAATTTTTCAGGGGGAGGTGGGGAAACCATAAACCCTTTCTGAAGCTTTCTCTCAGTGCAGAACTTCATTTACAATCCCAAAGAGAAAAAAACTAGTAGAAAACAAATAAAAAGGAAAATATCAGTTATTGAACCCTAATTTCACCATGAAAAAACCCCATGAGTCTCCACCCCCATTTCTCATCATGAAACTTCAAGTAAAATCAAAACCAATACAATAAAAAACAACACCAGCACCATTAAACAACGAAAAAAAACCCAATACTTATACCCAATTATTCCCTCACAAAAACCCTAGAAAACCAAGACAGAGAAACCAAAAATCAAAATAAGTTACAAAATCCAACCTTTTCATCAGAAGTGGCCTGAATATCATCTGATTTATCAATCGAATCAGACAGAAAATTGTTCTCAAGCAAAGGGATCGTCTTCCCAAATAACTTGATCGCCGGATCCTTCACCTCCAACATTTTTCAGACAATCTCTCACTTGGGTTTTCCTCCCAAAACCCAGAGAAGCAAACCCAAAGCCGGGTTTTCTAGAGAGAGAGAAAGAGGACACCGAACTAGAGAGAGAAAGAGCAAGTTTTTGTTTGATCTTTGATCCAGTGCTTCCTCAAATGAGGTTAGAGGCGAATTTCGAAGGTGGGTTTTTGGAGCGCAGTGCAGATAAGAAGGAAACACATTTGTTTTCTCTAGAGAGAGAAAGTGATTTGTCTAGAGAGAGAGTGAGGAGGAACACAGTAAGTAATCCTCTCTCTTCCTTTTTAAGAGAGAGTTATTTGTGTAGAGAGAGAGTGATGGTTGATCTTCTCTTTCTCTCTCCTCCTTTTAGGTCTAATAAAGTTAACGGCGTCAAAAGCTACAGAGGGAAAGAGAGAGGGGGGCAAGTAGGAAAGTGACGCCGTCAGTTTAAGCGGCGGCCGACGTTTGTTGCCACGTCATCATCGAGGGGCATTTTGAGCCACGAATTCTCGTGGCTCAGGATCGAATTGATGACGTCACCGGAGAAGAAGCGGATACCACTTTCGCTTTTTGGAAAGAAATTTACTTTTTTGCCCGAGTGTCATGGGGTAATTACGAGAGTGGCCTCAGATCTTTTTGTTCTGGGGATTGGGAATAGAGACATGGTTTTGATGGGATTTTACGTGGGTGTGCCCTTGGGTGTTTTTGATTCCCATTCTTGCCCTCTTCAAATATTGAAATCACCTTTCTATTCTTTTTCCTTTTTTTTTTCTTTGGGATGATGTCTCAATCGGTTTAAGCTTTATGAAAATAAAATAAAGTCTAATCTTAAATCCTCATCTAGGAAGCACTTTCGACTATGAAAATCTTCGTGAAGGATCTAAATCAATTTCCAACACCTACAATAAAATTTGAAACTTAATAAATGGTACAGATCTTGCACATCTATGAACATTTATTTTTAGGGTGAAATAGATAATCTAAATAATTTGTTACAATATACACAATTTTTAGAGCTTCAAATCCTAAATTTTTTTCTACAGCTAATATTTTCACGCTAAGATGTTCAATGTAAAGGTTTTTTTATGCTTGGATTGTAATCATCAATGAATTATGAGGTGAGGCTTTATTTATTTCGATATGTCTGCTAATAAATCATTTTCCTTTATCCTTTTTTAGGAGTACTCCACGTTTAGGTGCCTTGGATGATCCACATTTTCAAATCAGGTATTGATGAGCACATTGAACTATCCATATGGCTTACAACCCTCACAATCAGGCACAACGACACAATTATCAAGGGCGCACTCTACCACTGTGTTAATAGAATGTTCCATTCAATACGAGGAGCAAGATTTTCCAGAAAGTCATGGCTTTATACAGTCACACCCGAAAATCTCGTTGGGGAGAGCAATTTTGGTATTGGGTAACTGCAAATCGATCATCTCTATATCAATGATCATGAATATGAAAAAAAAAAAAAACAGATTTTGAGCACTAACAGTGGTTCATCTTACAATGTTTTTTTAATCTCTATATTTTAGGTTTTATATATCTAAGAAGGGTTAGGACCTTAACTATTATCTTAACCGGTCTTAAGCCCAAGAAAAAGAGGAAGGTTGTGTTAAGTAGACAGCTGATGTATTCTTAAAAAAGGGGATTAAGAAATAGGGCATTATAAAATAGAACTTCACTCTTTTATTTTAATACAAAGCATAATACAACTATTTTTTATAAGAATAGAAGAAATAAGGAGGGAATCGCTCGATATTACCTGAGAATCATTTATCACTTGGAGAGAAATCACTCACTCTAAAAAAAAGCTCAAGACAACTCTCAATTCTTGGTTGCCGAAATGGACCTTTAGAGGTATCATAGGCTATTTTTGGTAGCTCAAAGATTACCAAATCTTGGACATTAATTCCTTTTGCCAAATCCTAGCTATTGATTTGGAAGATATTTCTAGAGAAGTAATAAAAAAATTTCTAAAAAAATAAATCAAAAAATTTCTAGAGAAAGTTCTTAGATATTTTTTTAAACAATAATTTATTACTGATATTTCTAAGGAAGTTTCCTAAAAAAATTTTAGGATAATAATTCAATTTTATTCTAATTTTTTTTAGAACTCCCACATGTAGGAAGTCGACCTCATAAAGCTGAGGAAAAGGCTCTAGACAGGCACTTTCCCATACTTTTTGATAAACCAGTAGTTAATGTAGCAACCGAAAAACCTACTCTCTAATCTTTTAACATTAAAATATGAGAAATTGACGGTTCACCACTTTTAACTCCCAAAAGGTGAATTCACTCCGATCAATTGTGCCCTAAAAAAAATTCAAAATAATTACAATAATAATCATAGTGTTGCAAGGGTATTTTCGTCATCTTGCACAATCCAGGGACAATATCGTTATATGACAAAAATCCCCATGGCATTCTGGACAATTGCCCCGGTCGCTTTTCAGTCCCCCCTCGCTGGCCAGGCCACCTATATTCCAAAAGGAGCCCACCGGCTAAAGCCGGTCACCGAGAAAGTGGGACCCAACCCACCCAGTACACGTCATCGGAAAAGCCACGTCACCACCCTTTGCCGTAGCAGCAGGCGTTCCCGAAAAGGTAAAGTGAAAAGGGCCCCTCGTGCCATTAGAGCCGCTCATCCAGTGTCAGCTTTTCGAGGCCGTACTTTTGACAGACACGTGGCGGTTCTATGGATGGGGATCCGGCCATTTGTGGTCCACATCACATCTCATGCCACGTGAGCGATTTCTAGCGGGCGAGTCCTCGACACGTGGCGGAGAAAAGCGGAAAGCCGGATGGGGAAAGTCCAGAACGAGAAAAGCGTTGTTATTCCTTTTTCGCTTTCTCTCTCTAAAATATTTGGCCTGTTTAACTCTCTCTCTAGAATATTTTGCCTCCTGACTCTCTCTCTCTAAAATATTGCCCCTTTTCTCTTTCTCTCTCTAGAATATTTTGCCTCCTGACTCTCTCTCTCTAAAATATTGCCCCTTTTGGCTTTCTCTCTCTACAATATTTTGCCGCCTGACTCTCTCTCTAAAATATTGCCCCTTTTCGCTTTCTCTCTCTACAATATTTTGCCCCCTGACTCTCTCTCTCTAAAATATTGCCCCTTATCGCTTTCTCTCTCTAAAATATTTTGCCTCCAGACTCTCTCTCTAAAACTTTGGTCGGATTAACATCCTCTCTCTCTAAAATAGAAAGCATTTGTAGAAAGGGAATAAGTAGCTGCCATTATGAAAATGTTCCCAATATGAGGGTTGATTGAATACAAGACCTTTTGACAGCTTTTCTCTTTCTTCTTTATTGTATTCTCTAACCCTTTCCATTCCCCAATAATAGTAGTACGTTATTCTTTTCTCTCTCTAAATTTTCTCTCTCTAAGAGCTCTTTTCATTTCCTTAGTAATTCTCTCTCCTACTTTTGGCAAAAGTTCGGATCTTAGATCAAAATTAAAATAGTATTTGAGTTCAAAATTTAAATACGTAGTCAGACTTTGGGTTTGATTGGATCCGTTACAGTCTTTATGACTACGATTTTTTTTTTTACCTTTTTTTATTTACCATTATATTATTAGTTTTTTTTATCAATATTTTTATTTATTTTACCATTTTTTATCTTATAACTGTAAGTTTTTTTTTATAAATAATATTATAAATATTACCAATATTGTGACAATATAAACACCTAACGCATGTTTAAAAATACATGATTGATGTCATATACCATATGATTACATGTACAAGTAAGGTCTGGCCAGATCCAAACTCAAAATAATATTCAAGTTCAAAATTTGAATTCATATCCAAATCTAAAATCGGATGTACCCATCGATCTCAAGTCTAATCAAATCCATTGCCAACCCTGCTTCCTCACTTATTTATTCCTCTCTCTTCTTTTCCATTATATAATGTTATATTCTCTCTCCCCTTTATCCCCCTCTCTCCTTTATCCCTCTCCTCTTAACTCTTTTCTATCACATACTATGTTATCCTCCCTCTCTTTCCATCATATAATATACTATCCTTTCTCTTCCCCTTTTCCATCTCTCTCTTCGCCCTTTTTTCTTCACAAAAATCTTCTCTCTCAACCCTTTTCCATCACGTAATGTGTTATCCCTTGTTTCTCTCTCTATAATCTCTCCCTCTTAATGTGTTTTCCCTTGTTTCTCTCTCTATAATCTCTCTCTCTTAATGTGTTATCCCCTGTTTCTCTCTCTATAATCTCTCTCTTGAGCCGACCTGAATATGGCTCAGACGAACCTTTTGCCAGCTCCCCACTCTTTTTTATTGCTCTTTTCCACTCTCTAATTTTAATCCTTTTCTTTTTCCTTGTTATTTTCTCTCTCCTTTCTCTCTCTCTCTCTAAGTTTTAGAGTTGTTTCCCCAAACCCTCTTCCATTCTCCAATTATACTGCCCTATCTTCTTCTTTCTCTTTCTACTTATCCTCTCTCTCTCCTCTCTATAAGTTTTGTAACAATTTTCTTTCATGTTATTTTCTCTCTCCTCTCTTTCCCTCTCTAAATTATTTCATAATGTGTGGACATGTTTGAAATTTAAATTGCAAACGTTACACGCACCATATCTATGATAAAATAAGTTATATAAGTTGGCTTGCTACGAAAGCATGACGGCTTTTGTTAATTTTTTTTTTGCATAAGGTGTCAACCTTATACTATTAAAATAGGGTACATCTCAAAACTAAGCTGAAAATACAGTTTTGGTACCGCCGTGCCATGATATGAAAATCTATTGACAATCTAGCGAATCTATAAGCACTTGATAATATTGAAAATAGACGATCCAGATAATGTGTTAAAAGATGAATTGTTTTAAGCACTGGATATTGCATTTTTATTGGCTGTGAATCTCAAGGTCGAGATGATGGATTCGAGGGTTTTCGAGCATAAAAACAACCTTCTCTAATGGGTTTTTCGAGTGCACCAGTCTTGTACAGTATAAAGTTGACCCCTTATATAAACTTTTTATTTTTCTCTCGTATTTCTTAGATTTTATACAACACTTCTCAAACATAAGCAAGAAAGAGAAATAAATACTTTTTATATCTAACGAACCGCGTGTGCCCAAGCCCAAAAGTAATATTAAAGAAAGCATGTTTAATATGTTGTTAAAAGGGTGGGGTGGCATTTTTTTTCTATTTTAATGTAAAATGCTGAAGTTTCAGTTTTAGAGAGAGAGAGAGTATTAAAGAAGGGCATAGGTATTTAGATTTGCTTCCCTTTTTATTGTCGTCTTTTTTTATCAT